AACCTGGTGGCCCAGCGGCAGACACAACCGGCGGCCGCTAAGCCTCAGGTGTTCACCGAGCTGCTGCCGCCGCCGGCTCGAGGGCCCATTCAGTCCGGCAACTTCCGGCCGGTGAGGAGAGGGCGGACGTGCTCCTGCCAAGCACTTTCGCCAGGGCCGCTCACGTGCCCCTTTCTTTCCGTAGCCACGTCTGTGTCTAATAGCTCCGAGATTAATTTTTATCTTCAAGTTGAATCATAAAGAGGGGAAAATGAAGAACACATAGAGGCGCCAAAGGGAAATATTAGACTCCATGGTTTTATCGAAAGTGCAGTTAGAGGATGGAAGGGAAGGTGCGCCACGCCGGAAGTGGCTGGGCGGTGTCACGCGTTCCCCTCACGGAAGGAGGCGGTGCCTCGCCGGAGACGCGCGGAGCCGAGCTTTGTGGTAGTTGATAACAATGAACAATATATAGTAGTTCTCACTTAGTGCGCGATGACTTTGCTAAAAACGGCTCCTTCAGGTGGGAGGCCAAGAGAGATGATGTTACCTGTTCAAGGTCACGCAGATATTGCCGAGTAAAGGACAGGAGACCGAGAAGAGCCAGCGAGTGAGGAGAGCTAAGTGTGGCTTCACTGAAAGCCAAATGCAGAAAGTATTTCAAGAAACAGTGATTTTGTGTGTTTAATATAATTGTTGTTCTGTGACTAATTCACGGGGGTGGGGGGCGGAGGGAGCCCTTGAAGATTCAAAGAACCAAGTGAGAAGTCTTTTTTTCTGAACAAATGGTCTATTTGTATATGCTACCTTATGCTACAAGTAGAATGGTTCTTGGGTGTTTAGTAATAAACCTTACCTTCCCCCCTGGCTTACTGTGAGGAAAAGAAACTGAACTGTGTGCTAAAAGGAGGCTGAATTTTGCAGCCATTGGAAATTTCTGTTCCTGCCGTCCCCTGCCCGCCCGAGCATTTGGCAGGTGACTGGATACTGACGGTATAGGACCTATAGGTTGTCCAGGGGTACAAGGTAGGGATAAACGTTGCATCAGTACATTGCATCAACTGGCCGACCTACGGAAGAAAGAAAATAAGTCCTAGTCCTCCCGTGTAGAGCACCCACATGTAGCAATATTAATATGGCATTTTTCTGGTCCCCAGCACTTTCCTTCGTGCAACTTTGCAGAACTCTATCTTAAATCAACTTATTTAAAGAGAAACACCCTACTAGAAAATGTAACTTTCCTTCAAGCAGGCTGATCTAATTTATTCCTGTAACAGTATTAATCTTGGTTTTGACACAGATGTCTTGAGGCGTCATACTTTTTTTCGTTTATTTTTTAAAAGATTAAAATATGCCTATAGTGAACAAAGTAATCTTTCTACCCCTGACTCATATGCATACACAAATATGTATGAATATACCAGAGGCCCGGTGCGCGAATTCGTGCACGGGGGTAGGGGAAGGACCACGGGAGGTTGGCTGGCCAGTGGAGGGACCGCAGGAGGTTGGTCGCCAGCCCTGAGAAGGGAGCTGCTGGCCCTTGGCCCCTCTGGGAAAGGGGCTACGTTCACTGCCACCCAGCCCCGGTTTCCTTCCCAGCCCCGGCCCAAAGGCTGGGCCAGGTGCAGAAGGAATGGACGCCAGAAACCAATGCCTCCGTTGGCTGCACCAATTTACACTCCCACCAACAATGCTATTTCTTTCTTATATTTTACTACATTTCATATTAACTATAACTGGTAATTGTATAATTTATAATGATGACATTATATATTATACTAGAGGCCCGGTGCACAAAATCATGCATGGGGGGGGGTTCCCCTCAGCCCAGCCTGCACCCTTTCCAATCTGGGACCCCTCGGGGGATGTCGGACTGCCTCTCACAATCCGGGACCACTGGCTCCTAACTGCTCACCTGCCTGCCGGCCTGATTGCTCCTAAATGCCCCGCCTGCCGGCATGGTCACCGGTCACCCCCAACTGCCCCCCCTGCTGGCCTGGTCGCCCCATGCAGCCTGCTGTTCAGTCATTTGGTCGTCTCTCACTAACCCCCCTGCGGGCCTTGTTGCCCCATGCAGCCTGCTGTTTGGTTGTTACTGTTACTGTGACAGTGTCCCAGACAATTTGCATATTCCTCTATTATTAGTATAGACAATACTATACTGTATTGCATCGTATATATAATATATGAAATAGCCATATCATTTAGTATAAGGTATAATGTTAATATATAACAATAATCAAAAAATTAGTTTGAAGAAATTCAATCAAAGAACTTAGGTGAAACCTATCGCAGTTTAGCTTCATTAAGAACTCTTAAACATATGAACTCACTTATTTTTCCTGTAATCCCTTTTTTAATTTTGATATAAACAATGCATAGTATAAAACATAGCATCTTTAATTTTTCTATTAAGAAGTAGATGAGCCCTAGCTGGTTTGGCTCAGTGGATAGAGCTTCGGCCTGTAGACTAAGGGGTCCCAGGTTCGATTCTGGCCAGGGGCACATGCCGGGGATTGTGGACTTGATCCTCCCCAGTAGGGGGCGTGCAAGAAGCAGCCGATCAGTGATTCTCAACATTGATGTTTCTATCTCTCTTTCTGAAATCAATAAAAATATTTTTTTTTTAAAAGAAGTAGATGAAACTTTTTGTGTAGTATTAGAGAATCACAATATGGTGTCATATCCATAAGTGCTCTTATAAATAATCTGCTCTTGCAAATAATATTTATAACCCTTAGACTCAGAAATAGAGTTTTTAAATAAGTATTTTTAAGCCTCAAATTAAATATCTTTAGTTAGTTAACATGTTTTTTTCTTTCCTTCAAAGCAAAAGATTTATTAAAATTCCAGGTGCATCTTTTACAGACATTGATAAACTAATACAAAAATTTATATGGAAATGCAAAGGACCTAGAATAGTAAGAAGTACTTCCTTTTTTTCTTTTTATTAAATTTATTAGGGTGACACTGGTTAGCAAAATTATACAGGTTTCAGGTGCACAATTCCACAGCACATCATCTGTACACTCTATTGTATGTTCATTACCCCAAGTCAAGTCTCCTATCACCATTTATCCGCCCTATAACCTCCTCCACCTCCTCCTACCTCCATTCCCTCAAATTACTTCTTCTTATAAAAGAACAAAGTTGGAGCTCTAATACTATCCACTTTTAAAACTATAGCCATTGCTGCACTAATCAGGACAGTGTGGTATTGGTATAAAGATATACATATAGATCAGTGTCCAGAAATAAACCTTTACATTATGGCCAATTTATTTTTTTCAACAACAATGCAAAGGCAGTTCAGTGAGGGAAAGAACAATGTTTTCAACAAATAGTACTGGGACAATTATATATGTATGCAAAAAAAAGAACTTGAATACAGAAATTAACTCTAACTGGGTCATAAATTAGAAGAAAATATAGGAGAAAATCTTTGCTGGTAGGAATGTAAAATCTTTCAGACACTTTGAAAAAACAGTTTGATAGTGTCTTAAAAGATTAAACACAGACTTACCATTCAACCCAGGAATTTTACTCTAGGTTTTTATTGATGAGAAATGAAAATGTATGTTCACCCAAAGATTTATACATGAGGAGAGAGACCAAGATGGCGGCATAGGTAAACACCGCAGACTGCTGCCGCAAACAACCACTTCATCTTTCAGACACTTTGAAAAAACAGTTTGATAGTGTCTTAAAAGATTAAACACAGACTTACCATTCAACCCAGGAATTTTACTCTAGGTTTTTATTGATGAGAAATGAAAATGTATGTTCACCCAAAGATTTATACATGAATGTTTATAGCAGGATTATTCATAATAGCCCCAAACAGAAGCATTCCAGATCTCCATCAACTGGTGAATGGATAAACAAATGTGATACGTTCTTATAATGGGAGACTATTCAGCAATAAAAAGGAATGAACTTCATGCATGAGCCTCAAACAAATTATCATTAAGTGAAAGAAGCCAGACAAAAATCTACATAATATATGATTCCATTTATATGAAATGTTCAGAAATTGCAAGTCTATATAGCCCAAAAGCAAAACAATGGTTGCTTGGAGCTGGAGTGGAAGTAGGGATTGAGTGAATATGAGCCCAAAGGAACTTTTTTAAAAACGTATTTTTATTGATTTCAGAGAAGAAGGGAGAGGGAGAGGGAGATATAAACATGAATGATGAGAGAGAATCATGGATCAGGTGCTCCTTACTGGGGACTGAGCCCGCAACCCAGACATGTGCCCTGGCAGGGAATAGAACTGTGGACCCCTGGTTCGTGGCTTGATGCTCAACCACTGAGCCACACCAGCTGGACCCAAGGGAATTTTTTGCAGAGATGGAAATATTTTAGAACTGGACCTTGGTAATGACTGTACAATTATATAAATTTCCTAAAAATAATTGAATTGTATACTTTAAAATGGTGAATTTTAGAGTATATAAATTATACTTACATAAATTATGCTGTTAAAATAGGTATGCATTGTGTTAGAGTTTAATGAGGGAAGCAGAACCAGTAGATTTACACATGTCCTCTATATGTATCCATATGTATGTATATGTATATATTTGCATATATATGTATATATGTGTGTGTGTGTATATATATGTATGTATATATATATGAATTTATTACAAGGAATTAGCTTTTGCAATTGTAGAGAGTAGTTAGGCAAGTCCAAGGTCTGTAGTGCAGGCTATCTGGAAGGGTAAATCCAGAGAGGGCGAGAAATTGTAGAGTTAGCTTCTGTTTGGAGTCAGACTCCTGGCATGCCTAAGCCTGTGTGTGTGTGTGTGGGGGGGGGGGTTTAATCCTCACCCAAGGATATTTTTTCCATTGATTTTTAGAAAGAGTGGAAGGGAGGGAGAGGGGGAGGGAAAGAGAGAGAGAAACATCTATGTGAGACACATCGATTGGTTGCCTCCCACACACACCCCGACTGGGGGTAGGGATGGAATCTGTAACCCAGGTACCTGCTCTTGACTGGAAATTGAACCTGTAGCCCCTTGGTGTGCAAGCCGACACTCTAACCACTGAGAGAGCAACACCGGCCAGAGCTAAGTCTTTTTAAAAGGACTTCCACGGATTGAGTCAGGCCCACCCAAATCTCCTTATTTATTAGGGACTTGAATTATATCTGCAAAATTCTCTTCACAGCACTATTAGATTAGTGTTTGATTAAATAACTGGGAGAAGATGCACCTAGGATATAAAAGACTGCTGTTCTCCCTTTAGTCCTTGTAGGGATATGTCAAAGAACCATCACATACAAATATTTTGTTTTCTACAGAAAAATAGATTGCTTTTACAAGCTACAAGTATACTTAATTTGTTCGTTTGCTCACTCAGATGACATTTTTACTTATTTTAAGCTATTTCTTATTAAAAAATTTTAATGTTGACATCATTGCAGGTGTCCTCCTTTTCCCCACCCTTTGTCCACCCTTTGTCTACCCAGCCCTCTTCCCCCTCCCTTGGCCTTCACCAAACTATTGTCTGTGTCCAAGGGGTATGCATATATGTTCTTTAGCTAATCCCTTTATCTTCTTTATCCAGTCACCCCCATAGAGGATTTATTGTGTGCCAGATACAACAGTGTAGCCTATACTATGGTGACTGGCACATAGATGCTCAAATACTAGTATTTGTTGAATGAATATGCCATCAGTACACCCCCGGGACTTATTTTTTCCCCTATTTATTTGTGCACATAGTATTAAGCTGTTATTAAGATGGAATATCCATTGTGTAGCTTCAAATAGCAAAATTTCACACTTCTGTTTCCAAGCATACTCATAAAATTTACACACCTTTAACCTTTTTTTTTGCCAATGATTTCCTGAAGAAAAAGTGCTGTATAAATAAATACCAAATATAGAAACAAGATAAATTATATTGCTGATTAGTTGCAATATTTATAGAGAAGTTACGATGGGGACACTTGAACACTTGATCCTCAATTGAAATGAGTGTTTACATCTATTTTCCAACAGATCCAAATTTCCAGTCTTGCCGTTTTCCACAATTTGAAGATTCTGATTCCCTGGACCCCTTCCGAAGGAAGTCAGGTAAAAAAAAAAAATCTCATTCAACCACCCTCCATTTACTTGAGTAATGAATTATTGTTGTGGCAGGTAATCCTAATCTGTCGCAGCTCAGCAACTGCCTCTCCAGGCAACCTTTTAGCCAATCTCTCCAACTGCGACAGGGGCAGTTTCTATGGCGACTGACAACTTTGTATCTGCGGCAGGTTACCGCCTGCCTCGGCGGGAGTCGGGGAGTCAGTGGGTTCCTGAAGTTTCGCCCCTCGTTTTTCCTTTTTCTTTCGCCAGGAGAGAAGCTCACTGAACGTTTCCCTCTTATCTGCGCAGCTGAGAAGTAGTGAAAAACAGACAGGTACTTATTTGTCTTCAGCTTTTCACCCCTCTCTCAAGCCAAGAGATCACCAAATAGATGCCTGCAGAAATACTTTTTCATGGCAGGAATCTCCAAATTCTGTGGGAATCCGCGGTAAATGCAGTTGGTATCACAGTTAATTGTCTAGCATTTACATGACATTTTAGATATTCTATGTGTTTTGCTTTATCATAATATCACTTTCTAGGAAGGTAGCAAAACTAAGATACAACATTGATATTTAAATATTAATGATATTAAATTGGTTTGGGGGGAGAGAGGTTATACCTCAACAACTGGATTTGTTGTTGTGATTTGCATTTTAGGAAAAATCTGAACTGAGACTTTTAGAACTGTAATTTCATCCTTGAGGAAACTGAAGCCCTAACCTGGAAGTGATTTTTTTCATTTTTTCATAGCAAGTGGATGGTTGGAACTCTAACAGGAATCCCTGTCCATTTATTTCAACTGCCATTCTTGTTTTGTTTTAGTGTATGTGTGTGTGTGTATGTGTGTGTGTGTTGGTAAGAAAACATTTATTTGGTAAATCACAGAGGTAGAAAAAGTAATTCCTGGAAGACATGGCCTTAGGAAACAAGTTATAGAGGTAAAGGAAGGGCCTTGGACCTGGGGAGTGAGGGAGCTAATGGTAATGTGCCTTGGACAAGGAGGGGGAAGGGAAAGGCACCAGCGTGTTCTCGGGAGGGATAGTGCCTGAACTGCCATGAAGACTGATACCATACTTGGGAGGAAGATCTAAAAAGGCCTAGAATTTTGGGTATTGATATATAAGGTATGTTATCAATATATTGATGCTAGTTTTTACAATAACGGATTTATGGATTTTTCTCCTCAGATTATAGAGTATTTTTAGGAGACCAAGATGTCAGACCCAAACAAAGCTGCCATTGCTGCAGAAAAGGAGGCTCTGAACTTGAAGTTACCTCCCATTGTCCATCCTCCTGAAAACATAGGTGTTGATACACCAACACAAAGTAAGCTTCTGAAGTACAGAAGATCCAAGGAGCAAAGGAAGACAATTAATCAGTTAGTGTAAGTAGCATATTAGTAAATAATTCTTGTTTAGATTTCAAGTGAAATGATTTGTGTTCTCTCTATATATAAAAGGCTAAGCAACCATCCGACTGTCCGATTGGCCGGTAGGTATGACGCACACTGACCACCAGGGGGCAGGCTCAATGCAGGAGTTGCAGTGACCTGGCAGTGGCGGTTCTCAGGTGACACACCCTGGAACCAGAGAGGAGGGAGCCCGATTCTGGGGTGCGTCACCCGAGAACTGCCCTCTTGCAATCTGGGACACCTCAGGGGATGTTGGAGAGCTGGTTTTGGCCCAATCCCCGCAAGCAAGGCCGAGGGACCCCACCTGCCAGAGGGACCTTCCGCTCACTCTGCAGATGCCCTTCGAGCCACAGCACCACCCCAGGTGTGGCAGGCCAGGGAGGAACCGTGGGAGTTTGGCTCCAGAGTGTGTCTGGCCCATCTTGCCCAGTCCTGCCCTGCCAGCCACCTTCTAATTAATTTCCTTTCAATGTGCATGAATCCACGCACCGGGGCACTAGTATTTTTGTAAACAGCTTTATACACCCATGCTTAACCTACTGTTGTATAAGTTTTGTATTTTCATTTCATTGTGAAGTTCTTTTATGTCAGTAAGTATACTTCTACCACATCATATTTAATGACTATTTTCCATTGTTATCTTTACACCACAAAGTATATAATCAGTCCTCTCTGGACATTTTGCAGTGCTGTGATAAATATCCCAGTAGCTGATTTCTTACACACACCTTTATGTCTTTAAGATAAATTCCTAGAAACAAGGTATACATTTTTCATATATTGCCAAATTACCTTGGGAAGTTTGAATTTTCATTTCTGTCAGCAATGAATTAAAGAGCATCCTCTTCCCCACACCATTGCCAACATTGGGTATTAGTGTTTTATCATCTTTGGTAAAAATGGGGAAATAAGATTTCCTTGATATTTTACTTGCTCTTCCCTAATTAGTATTGGGATAGAACTTTTTTCATATTTTGGGGGGTATTTGTATTAGTGCTTTGTGAACTCTCTATCATGTCCATAGATCATTTTTCTTTCAGGGCTCATTATACAGTTATCATTTACCAAAATAATGGGTCAAATATATTTCTCCCAATTTTTCATTTGTTTTTAATTTTTAAGTTTTTTAATTACCAAGAACTTTAAATTTTTCTTTTTTGATCTCTGTCATTGATATCATCTTTATAAAAGAATCTCTTTCTACTTCAAGGTTATAAAAATACATAAGTTTTTGCTCTGGCCCATGTGGCTCAGTTAGTTGGAGCCTCCTCCCATATACCAGAAGGTGGTGGGTTCAATTCCTAGTCAGGGCATTTGCCTAGGTTGTGGGTTTGATCTCCACAGCCAATCGGTGTTCCTCTGGTGTTTCTATTTCTCATTGATATTTCTCTCTTTCTCTCTCTGTCTTCCTCCCTCTAAAGTCAAATTAAAAATATCTAAATTTCTTCTTGTACCTCAAAGCACTAGTATTTTCCATATTAAAATGTTTAATTTATCTAGTAATTTTAAAATAAAAAATAAAAAGCTTTATGTAGGTTTTCATAAATAGTTTTATACCATCTTGAAGTTCAATTAGGAAAACAATAGAAAAGTAATCATAGTGACAGTGAGTGATGTACTGTATGTGCTTACTCTAAGCATTGTTTTTATCACTTCACCTATATTTCTCACAACAGCCCTATAAGATGGGTACTGCTGTTATCTCTGTTTTATAGATGAGTAAACTGAGTTGCAGAGAAGTTAATAACTTACCCAAGATCACACAATCTGGTTCAGGGGTTCACATATTTTAAGCACCAAACTATCCCTCCTCTTTATATATTACTAGAGGCCCGGTGCACGAAATTTGTGCAGGGGGGAGAGCGGTCCCTCAGCCCGACCTGCACCCTCTCCAATCCAGGAGCCCTCAGGGGATGTCCTACGGATGGCTTAGGCCTGCTCCCCATGGTTCTTTGCTGTCTGCGGGGCCCATTTGGCCGCTCCTGGGTCTCCATGGCGACAGCCAAGCAGGCCTTGCTCTCAGCTGCTGCCCCCGGGACTGGAGGACTCCAGTGGGGCTGAGAGGACTGGGTGCCACCATCTTTGTGTTGGAGTCATGGTTAATTTGCATATTACTCTTTTATTAGATAGGATAATCATACTGGTCCCTGAGAGTAAAACCAAGTAATTGGGCCTCTAGGAATGACATTGCATTTGAACAAATACTTAATAAGATATCTAAAATTTTTTTTTTAAATTTATAGATCTGAGAGAAAGAGAGAAACATTGACCTGCTGTTCTACCCATCCATGCACTCATTGGTTGCTTCCTGAATGTGCCTTGACCAGGAATTGAGTTCAAAATCCTGGTGCTCAAACCAACTGAGCCACCCAGCCAGGGTCTTAATGATACATCCTGAAACTACTTGTACTTAAATTTTTTTACCTACAAAAGAAAATATAGTACAACATCCTGTCCTTTCCCCTCCAATTTAGTGGAAATTAAAACCATCTACCAAAAGCTGTGATTAGGATGGTTCAGTTTAATTTCGCAATTACTGGGAATTTCCTAGGTACCTGACTCTGTAGGGTTCTGGGGATAACTAAAAAGAAAAAAACAGTGAGCTTATTTGTACAATTCTAACCTAACACTGAAGTATAAAATGGGAACTTTCTCTATGGTAGATTTCTGCTTCTCTTTCTGAATTCTCTTTCCCTTCTTGGTTTGCCTCATTTATACATATTTTTTGCATCTGACTAAATTTTACTGTTTGTTACGTTGTTAATGATTATATTGTTGCTAATTTTTGCAAATTTTATTTTCTTTACAATTAAACTGATCTATAAAACTTTTTTAGATTTACATTTTTATTAGTTTATCAATCATCTAATCATATTTAAATCCAAATTTATAAGGTATATTAACTAATATTAGTATATGTATTACTAGACCAGCAGAGGGCAGGAGACAGTGCCCAGTGGGTAAAAATCCTTTACCCACTTCATTCCTAGGACTCTACTCAACATTTCAGTAGATCTACAGAATAGAAATGGGGGTCCCTTAGGAGTTAAGTATTATTCTTACTCTAAAACCTTTCACTTTCTCACATTGTCATGTTGAACTACTTGCAGTTCCAGGAATCCTATCTAATAATAGACAAAAAGGGTAATTGACCGTACCTTCACTACACCTCCCATTGGCCAATCAGCACGATATGCAAATTAACCACCAAAAAATATGGCGGTTAATTTGCATAGTAGGCGCCCAGTGGCTATCGGCTATCGGAGCCTGCAATCAGAGCTGAGAGGTCCCCTGCCCAGGCCTGACGCCTTGGTCAGAAGCATTAGGCCTGGGCATGGGCGGAGCCGCGATGGTGGGGAGCAGTGGGGAAGCCAGTGATGGTGGGGAGCAGAGCGGAGCCCACGATGTGGGGAGCTGGGGGTCCCCGCCCAGGCCTAACACCTCAGAGGCATTAGGCCTGGGCAGGGGCGGAGCCGGTAATCGAGGGAGCTGGGAGTCCCCTGCCCAGGCCTAATGCCTGGCACAGGCGTTTTGGGCCTGGGCAGGGGCGGAACCAGTGATCGTGGGCAGCTGGGGGGGTCCCCTGCTCAGGCCTAACACCTTGGCCAGAGGCGTTAGGCCTGGGCAGGGGCGGAGCCTGCAATCGGGGAGCTGGGGGTCCCCTGCCCAGGCCTAATGCCTTGGCCAGAGGCCCTCTGCCCAGGCCTAATGCCTTGGTCAGAGGCATTAGGCCTGGGCAGGGGCGGAGCCGGCAATCCCTGGAGCTGAGGGTCCTCTGCCCAAGCCTAACGCCTTGACCAGAGGTGTTAGGCCTGGGCAGGGGCGGAGCCAGCGATCGTGGGGAGCTGGGGGTCCCCTGCCTAGGCCTAATGCCGTGGCCAGAGGCATTAAGTCAGGGCAGGGGCAGTTCCAGCAATCGGGGGTAGCAGGGGCGGAGCTGGTGATGGTGGGAGCTGGGGGTTCCTTGCCCAGGCCTAAGGCCTTGGCCAGAGGCATTAGGCCTGTGCAGGGGCAGAGCCAGAGATTGCAGGGAGCAGGGAGGGAGCTGGCGATGGCGGGGAGCAGGGGCAGAGCCAGCGATCATGAGGAGCAGGGGCTGAGCTGATGATTGAGGGAGCTGGAGGTCCCCTGCACAGGGCTAATGACTCGGCCAGAGGCGTTAGGCCTGGGCAGGGGC